GATGGATTGTGTCCAAGGAAGGGCCTAACTACTTTTTAAAAATCTATAATAGGAACAGTTATAATTAATACATAACTTAAGGTTTTTTCCCTATATTGACATTTCCTCTAGTCACTCATGGCTCTTCAGTAAAGTTGGTTACAGATTGCACAGTCTTTTGTTGGTGATATTATCATCGCCTCTGAAATTCACAACACCCAAGAAATACAGCACTACAAAAGGACAAGTGGAGATCAGGTAGCAGCTTTATTACTAAAAAACTAACCTGGAGGCCAGGCAGGGTAGCTCACACCTGTAATCCCAGCACTTTGAAAGGCCAATGCAGGCAGATCACCTGAGGTCTGTAGTTCAAGACCAGACTGGCCAACATGGTGAAACCTCATCTCTATTAAAAATATGAAAAATTAGCTGGGCACGGTTGTGGGCACCTATAATCCCAGCTACTTGGGAGGCTGAGGCAGGAGAATTGCTTGAACCTGGGAGGTGGGGGTTGCAGTGAGCCCAGATTGTGCCACTGCACTCCAGCCTGGGCAACAGAGTGAGATTCCATCTTGAAAAGAAAAGACCAGACCAGTCCAGACCAACTTGGAGAATGGGATTGTCTGGAAGGGCCCAATCAGACCATAGATTCATGAGAAAGAATGACTTGTTCCAGTAAGCCACTAAGTGTAGGGTAGACGCAGCAAAAGGCAACTAAATAGTCTGGGAGGAGGCCACAGTGGGACGCTGAGGAGACAGCTCTTGAGCTATATAAGCTTGTTATGACGAGCAATAGATCCAGGCTGGGCCTGCTCTATATTTATCTAAAATATCCTATGTGGCAGGACAATATGAAGACATTCAGATATTGTTGGCTTGAGTTGGCACTGGGTCCAGTGAATTGTTAGGATCATGGGAATTTCCATCCTTCCTTGTCATCATTCCTGGCTAGATGGGTGACAGCTGTCCCTTTTATAAATGGCGTCGCCCTGTTCTCCTATGGTTATTCACTTTTAACTCTCCTTATCATAATATGGTTACAAATAAACTTTGAAGTTCTCACAATTGAGAAGTTCAGGTTGAGTCAAGCTCTGCTGCTTTCAAGCATCAGATGTACCTTGCCAGGAACCTGGATTTTCACTGGTTTCATATGTAGATAGCCAGTGAGGCTAATGCTGTGTTTACAATGGTGTAAATGAGTGCTGATTCTAATAATTTAATCACTTTAGAAAACATACCATGTGTTGGCCAGGCATGGTGGCTTACACCTTTAATCCCAGCACTTTGGCAGACTGAGGCAGGCATATTGCCTGAGCTCAGGAGTTTGAGGCCAGCCTGGGCAACACAGTGAAACCGAATCTCCACTAAAATACAAAAAATTAGCTGGGCATCATGGCAGGCACGTGTAGTCCCAGCTACTCAGGAGACTGAAGCAGAATTGCTTGAACCCAGGAGGTGGAGGTTTCAGTGACCCAAGATCATGCCACTGCACTCCAGCCTGCGGACCAGAGTGAGACTGTCTCCAAAACTAAACAAAACAAAACATACTACGTATCTCACTACAACCCACCAGTTAAGTATCATTATCCCTATTTCCCAGAAGAAGATACTGAATTTAGTGGGATTCCAGATTTTCCACTACTCCACATTATTTTTCATTTAGAAGCTCATTTATAAGCACTTCTAAATGTCAGTTCTAAAACTTAGGAATCTGGTTTCTGAAAATGAAGTTTTGGGTTGAACTATTTCAGAGAAGGTTTTGCTGTTTTAAATAGGCTGAAAGTGCGGCTTTAAAAGGCAAATTGGCAGCTTTGTCACAACCATAGTACTGCAATGATTTTACGCATATATACGCACACACATACACATTTATGTTCACATATACACACAACCACAAACAAAATCTGTAGCAGTACTGAAAAATATAGAAAGCTTTTGTTAATATCCCGGAGCCATTTAGGACATTCTAGAAAATATGAGGCCAAAGGGCTTGGAATGAGGAAATCGCTGATAAACATGAAATCATCTGTGATTCAATACAAAGAAGAGGCTTAATAGAGCCCTGAAAACCTACTGTCCTCTGATTTGCAGAATCTGAGACCATATAGGCCAGCGAATCTGCAGAGGTTTGTTAAATCATTTCACAAGGCTTCCCTCACTGAGCACAATGGATTCAATAAAAGGACGTATTGCTGCCACAGTTATCAGTCACCTGCACAGCTGGAAGTGCCACCTACCCTTTTGCTGCAGGACACGCACTCCAAAGGAAGACTGCCTGTTCCATTTGCCTTCCCAGTAACTTCTTTCAGGATGAGCCTCAGGATCACTTCAGGTTCCACTGGCCACCAAAACTCCCAGCTGCTCTTATCTGCCAGTCTAGACCACTGCATAGAAATCACCTGGGGATTTTGTTAAAATGGAGATTCTGATTCAGCAGTCCTGCGCTGAGGCCCGAGAGTCTAATAAGCTCCCAGGTGACATCAATACTACTGGTTCCCGGACCACACTGAGTATCAAGGGTCTGGACCAACCTTTTCTAAAATGGGTTTTTGACACTTTATAAGTTTAACCATGACAACAAACATTCATAAATGGAAAGATTTATTCCTAAACACTCCCTCAAAATACAGCTATAAATTTTAGGAAATCCTATGTTAATGTCAGTAATTCCTTGAACACTATCTCTTATTCCTTGGACTTCCCTTTCCATGGCACTTTCCTGATGAAAAGTTTCCAATCTCTTAAATAAGAGGATGAACCTAATTAAATTCTTGTTGCATTCTTAATACAACATTTATGCTTATTTCCTGATTTGATATGGAGTTAGAGTGACTCATCCTGGAGTCTTTGGCATGACAGAACACAAGTTTCATCTTGTGCTTTAATTGCCAAAGAATTACAACAGCTGCGGAACTTGTTTATAAGTAAATTGAATTTGCTTTGTTCACTAAGTAAAAATCCAAATAATATCTTGTTATCCACCCTGGGTGCAGCAAGAGGCACAAAACCTATCCTAGAGGACAGCGTATTTTGGAAACTAGTAAATCATTTTTAAAAAGAGGCACCTTTCTATTCATGGCACCTATGGTTAATTAGAAAAGAGAGAAAAAAATGCAATGACACGAGTGAGGACTGCTTCTCTTCAGCAACCTCTTCACATGCAGGGATGGCAAGCCCAGGCAGAGAGGGGCTCATTTAAATTCCTGACCTTCCTTGTGCTCTCTGAAGTACAAGGAAGCTGGAGTAGCTGTGAGCAGCAGCAGCCACAGCCTCTGGGTTCTTTCCTGACATTCTGGGACAGCTGACAAAGCTGTATATCATAGGTACGAGCCAAGATTTGGGGGCAGACCAAATTATACAGGAATTTTGGCTCTGATGGATGATTCTGGGAAAGTTGCTACTTTCCTAAACCTGTACAATGAGGATAATAGCATCCTCTGCTAGGACTACTGAGAAGATTACATGTAACGATGTACATAAAAGATTCAGCAGTGCAAGCTTGGGGAAACTGCTGTTTGTATTAATACTATCAAGTATTAATGAATGATAGCTATTCTTTGTATTAGTATTCATACTATTAACCCCTGCTGGGTATGTCTCAACAGCCAGCAGCCAGCTAGCCCACTCTTGGGGTCTCTCATTTACCTTCTTCTTCCCATGCTATCAAGAAGCCACAATGGAGGTGGCCTGCCAGGTATTAGTGAGATCTAAAGGGCAGGCTGGATGTAAGACCTCGAAGAACACAGCCACAATGAAAGGCAAGTGATGTGTCAGACAGGTCTCAGCAAGTTCAAAAATTGAAACAAACATGAAGTATGGAGCTGTTTTTTCCATGCAGAGATGCATTGGGGCAGCCTGCACAGGGGTGAGCAGGTTGCCTCTGCAGTGCCCAGTTATATTTGTGGAGGGAAGATGGGGGTGGCTGGTGCCATCCTCAGCTCCACAAATATCCCTCCATCTCCTTGCTATCATTTTCTCAACACTGCTCTTGGTTACTGAGACTAAAGAGGTGACAATGAATCAAATCTGGGTTCAGATCACGTCTCTGCCGTTTTTTTCAATTATGTGACTTTGGGAAATTTCTCTCTCTGTTTCATTCAGTTTCATCAACTGTGAAATTGGGATTATTCACTTACAACATCTTCAATGTTGTTCATGACTAGAATTGCAAGATTTTGCAAATAAAACTATAGGCCACATAAATCTGAATTTCAGATATAACCAACAAACTATTTTAATACAAATTTACTTTTTAGGACTAGTTAAATTTGATAATTTGATAGTTTTTGTAGTTAAAAAGTATGTCCCAGATATTGCATGAAATATATTTATACTAAAAAGCAATTTGTTGTTAATCTGAAATTCAAATTGACCTAGTGTCCTGTATTTTACCTGGCAATGTTATTCATGACAATCAAGATAACTGTGTAAGAATATTTAGCATGGAGAAGATACTTGTTTTGCTTGATATTTATGAACATTTTAGCTCTTCATGAGTCCTGTACATTTTCTTTTTATTCCATAATCTGCAAAGTTATCATAAACAATTTGAGAGCATGTGTCAAAATCCTATACATAGCTGACTCTAAATCATCCTTTAAAGATAATTAAAACAAGACAAGAATTGTGAATGGTGAAATGTCCAAGGTAGTTACAGTCAAGAATACAACTGACAAAGAAATTTGATTATTTCTGTAGTTTATAATAACATAGTAACCTCAATTACGATTGCTAGCATATACTCAGACATTAGAATTTTAGAAATCCCATACAATTTTGGAACATATATTAATATTATTCATTAAAACACAACCTGAAAATTATTAAACATCATTTGGTCAATCCCATGTACCTAAACATGTTAAATAATTCTGTTTATCTCTCTTCTGGATGCTTCAGGGGCCTTCTGTAGCATTCAAAAGCTAGGGGTCAAAAGAGACAATTTTGAAACTGAAGTTTGATTTGGGGAAGGCTGTTAAATGTTAGAGGTTTAAAACACTTAATACTACAAAATACAATTACAGATTACCATAAGTTATTTATTTTTGCCAAAATTAGGACTCAAAAGTTTTAAAACAAGGCAAAAATCTTTACTCATTAAGAGGGAAGGCTAAGCTTTCCAAACAGTTTGTCTCCTGTCTTCTCTTTCTTCCTTTGGCTTTATCAAAAGTAACCTCACAGGTGAAACAAAGAGGCCTCAATTAAGGTTATGATTTCACCATGAGTGTATGAGGTACTTTCAAATGGGGTAGTAAGCAGCTTTCGAAACTACCATTGCAAAATTCTGACTCAGACAGTAAAAGAAATCTGACCTAACCAACTCCATCTTGCTTCTATCCTCCAAGCTGTCCTTATTCAACTGACAAACTAGTTGGAAGACAGGGTCCAAACAAGAGAAGGAGAATGACAGAAACAAGGGAGCCAGCTAGCGGAAGGAACCATGGTGCCCAGCTCCAAAGATTCCTCCAGGAGTCTGAAATGCATTGCCCAATTTTAGAGGCATTTTCAGTTAACCATCGGGTGGCATCTCGTACCAGGCCAGACTGGTTAGTGTAAAAACAGCACTCTTCTCCTGGAAAGGTAGATAGCCTGCCTTTTTTGGCAGTGAGGTCTAACCTCGATGGTTTTAAAGTGTAACTGCTGCTAAAGAATCTATCTGAGATTGGAGAGCAAGGATGGATTTTGCTGTATCTTCTAGATTGTCTGACAGATCTTTAGAAAGAGCATGATAGTAAGACAAGGATGTGGACAGCCCTGCTATTCCTGTCCCTGTAGCAGTTGCAATTCCTAGTGGTTACCAGGGGTACTAGCTGTGTGGCTCTGAGCTGATGAACCTGGGCTTTAATGGGGATTAGTAACCTTTGGTTCCCTGGGGCAATGTCTATTTTGGGGCTTAGAAAGACTAGGGTGCAGATGCCAGTCCAGTTAGTGGGGAGGCAGAGGTAAGTTGAGGTCCTGCATAAGAAAAATATTGCTTGGCTAGATAAGCAGAACTGATTGTGTATTTTGAAGAGGTGTGTGAGGTTATTATTTTCATGTTCCCATACGCCCAGGGTTCCTGCTAAGATGGCCCCAGTGAGTGGCTGGAAAGCGGTTGTTGGGGTAAAGTGAATGGCTCCATTTGTTTTGTTTTCCCACTGGAGGAGGTACTGTTTTGTTTCTACTAGGAGCCATTCAGAGGAGTGGCTAAAAGTGGGTATAAGAAGGCACTCATTAGTTGTGGGAGCTATGTTGCAATGGGTCTGGGGGTGAATAGTCATGCAAGGAGTATGTCTGCCAACAAAAACCCTGACTGTTTGTTAAGCAAAGAGGTGGTACTGACTTTTAGGGGTCCTGTAAAGAAGACAGGTTGGCTAAATGAAGCAGTCTGGGTTACCAGAAAGTTCTGATAGTCAGTTGGGGCTTGGAGTTGTAAGGTAAAGTTGCACTGATGGGTAGTAGGTGGCCAAGAGGTAGGCCTGAGGATAGATTGTGATGGAAGCATAAAGGGGCCTGGGAAGTTAAAACAGTATTTGTGGTTACAGAACCGTGTATGGGTTTGTTATCACCTGTGTACGGAGTGAGGATAGAAATGTAGGAGCGAAGAATCTGTACGGTGTGTCCTGTCAGGGTATGTTTAGACATGTCAGTGATGGAGAACTCGGCTAGTGGCTGCATATTTAAGAGTTGGAAGGGACGTTTTCCTTCATAGTGAGGGTGATAGGTTAGGTGAGTAAGAACCCAAGTCTTTGCAGGTACAGGAGTGGCAACATAAGTTATAGCTGACAGAGTTGCAAAGCCAGCAACCTTTTGCTAGGGTTGGGTTTGGTTGGTTCAGCAAAGAATGGGTTAAGTTAAGGGTTTTGTAGAGGTAGATGGCACTAATAGGAAGGGGAGGTGCAGCAATGTGGGGCAGCCAAGGGAGCAGGAGGAATAGACAGTCAAACAATGAGGGGGAAGGTAAACAGTTGTACTTCATTGGGGGAGAAGACACACAGGGTGCCTTAGAAAACAAGGTCATCTATCCACTCTAGAAGAGAGTTAAGGGTGGTGGCCTGGGGGTGGAATCAGGAAATTTCTTGGCAAACAGTGGAGGAAGAGGGTGAAGCAGCAAGGTAGGCAGTACCCAGGCATTTAAGTCTCTTCAGGAATTCGGGTAAGTTTTAGAGAAGTTGGGAGAGTCCTTGCAACTTCCAAGAAGAGGTGGAAGAGTCAGGCTGCTCATCCGGTGGACACAGCTTTACCCTGGAGTGGTGTACTCCCCGGCGGGGGGGGGTCTTGCAATCGGACAGCAGTTGGGGTGCTGTAGATGACCAGAAAGGGGCCTGTCCACTGAGGTTGTAGAGACAGAGGGGTTAGGCTTTTCATTAGAACTGACCATCAATCTAGGGTGTCTTCATATGACTGGGTATCTGGAGTTGTTAAGAGAAAATTAGCAACCTGGAAGATTTCATGTTTAATCTGTTAGAGGACTGGAAGATAGCCCCCAAGAGGGATGGTATTTGGGATAAGGTCTCGTCCAAGCAGAAAGGTACAGCCATATAGGAGTTCAAATGGGCTGTACCTAGGGGTTCTCAGGGTGTAGCTGGAATCCAAAGGAGTGCAAGGGGTAGGAGGATGGTCCAGTCCTTCTTGAGCTGGCGGGTAAGTTTGGTGAGATGTGTTTTTACAAGGCCATTGGCCCTTTCTACCTTTCCTGAGGACTGAGGGTGGTATGGGGTGTGGAGATTCCACTGGATGCCAAGCACCTGGGAAGCTGCTTGGGTGACCTGGCTAATGAAAGCCAGTCCATTGTCAGACTGTATGGTGGTAGGGAGGGAGGGAGGCCAAGGCTAACTGCTGGGACTGGTGGGTGTTGGGGTCAATCCAAGTAAAGGAAAAAAGTGGTTGAGAAGAGTGGTACAAGGGGATAGCAAAGAAGGCATCTTTGAGGTCCAGAATAATGGGTGGTGGTAGGAGGAATGGAGGACAAGAGAAGACAGGGGTTTGGCACTACAGAATGGATGGGAAGCACGATCTGATTGATATGGCGAAGGTCTTGGACTAATCTGTAGGACTTGTCCAGCTTTTGGATGGGTAAGATGGGGGTGTTGTAGGGAGAGTTAGTGGGATCTAAAAGGCCATGTCACAGTGAGTAATAAGAGGTTTTAGGCCTTTTAGGATTTGTGTAGGGATGGGGTGCCGTCACTGGATGGAGTAAGGGTGATTAGGTTTGAAGGGGATGATAAGGGGTGAGTGACCTTTAGCAAGAAATGGGGAAGCGGTGTCCCAAACCCTAGGGTTAAGGTAGTGGGACATAAGGGGAGTTACTGAGGGAGGTACAGGTTTGGGGAGGAGGGCGGCAATGAGGTGTGGCTGTAGCCCAGGAATAAAAAAGCAGACAATTTTTTAAGACATCTCCACCTAACAGGGGAACTGGACAGGTGGGGATAAATAGGAAAGAATGGAAAGGAATGCTGGCCTAATTGAAACCAGACTTGGGGAGTTCTGAGGGGCCTGGAAGCCTTGCCATGAATTCCCATAACAGTTTTGGAGGCCAAGGAGGTAGGTCCTTGAAAAGAAGGCAGCGTGGAGTGGGTGTCCCCGTATCAATTAACGAGGGGATGGACTTACCTTCCACCATAGGAGTCACCTGAAGTTCGGGGTCTGCGATGATCCAAGAAGCCTGCAAGATGTTTGGGAAGCATCAGTCTTCAGCCACCAAACCGAGGAGATCGGGGAATGGCTTGGTCAGGGAGCTTCCGGTTGGAGCTCCAGGAGCTCTGGGGTCAGCGATATGAGTTGGACAGTCTGACTTCCAGCGGAGGCCTGCACAGACGGGGCAGGGCTTAGGAGGAAGCCTGGGCTGCAGGCATTCCTTGGCCCAGTGGCCAGGTTTTTTACACTTGAAGCAGGGTCCAGAGGGGCAGCTGGACGCTGCAGTCTGGGCGCTTTGAAGTTTTTTGGGGCCTGTGGTGTGGCTGGTGTTTGTTTTACAGCAGAAGCAAACATCTGTAGTTTTCCTTCTTCCCTATTGTTGAACACCTTGAAGGCGAGGTTGATTAGTTCCTGTTGTGGCGTTTGAGGGCCAGACTCTAATTTCTGTAGCTTTTTTCTAATGTCAGGGGCTGATAAGGTGATAAAATGCATGTTAAGAATATGGCAGCCTTCAGGCCCTTCAGGTTCTAATGCTCTATATTGCCTGAGGGCGGCAGCTAGATGGGCCATAAACTGAGCAGAATTTTCATCTTTGTTACAAGTGGTCTCTTTTAGTTTGTCGTAATTGACGGCCTTATATGCTGCCTTTTGAAGCCCTTCAACTAGACAGGAGATCATGTAATCTCAGCTGGCAATGCCAGGGGTTCCTGTCTGGTAGTCCTATTGGGGGTCTTCTCAGGGTGCTGCCCTGGCACCTTCCCGAAGGCCAGGTTCAAGGCGCCAGCAATCATCTGTGTAAGACTGAGCTAGGGTCCAAACCCATTCTCATTCTTCTGGGGTGAGAGTAGAAGTAAGGATGACATTTAAGTCACTCCAGGTGAGATATAAGACTGGGTTAAGTATTGGAATTCTTATATATATATACTTGGTGGGGTCTGAGGGGAGAGCCTAGACATTGACCGATTTGGGAGAGGTCAGATAGAGAAAAAGGGACGTGCAACTGGACTATTCCTGTGTAGCCAGGCACCTTGTGAAGGTGAAACTGTTGGACAGGGGAGGGGGAGTTAGCCATGGGTGCCAGACCAAATTATAAGCCGGATTTGGTATGAGGTGGGGTGGTGATGGGAGAGGCATAAGGAGGTGGGTTGCAGGCAGAGGAAGAAGAGAAAGTCTTGGGGAGGGGGGATTAGGGCCTTGTTCAGACAGGCAGGGAGGAGAAAGGTCGGAAGGGTCAATGGACAAGGAGGATTCTGTGTCATTGGCAGAGGCAGGAGGTATGGATGGAAGGGAGAGAAGGAAAATTTGGGGTGGGTTACACTGAGAGCAGAAATTAGGGAGAGATTGGAGTGTAAAAAATGCCTGAATGTAGGGTACTTCAGACCATTTGCTCATTCTATGACAAAAATTGTTTATGTTCCACAAAATAGAGAAATCAAAAGTGCCATTTTCTGGCCACTGGGAGCCATTGTCTACTTTATATTGAGGCCAGGCCATGTTACAGAAAAAAATTAGACATTTTGGTTTTAGTTCAGATAAAAACTAAAGGGGTTTAAGGTTCTTGACACAGGCCAAAGGAGAAGAGGGAGGGATGGAGGGAAGAAGGTTGCTCATGATAGACCAGAGAGGGTTGGGGAGAAAGAGACGAGGAGGAGAGCAACCACTAGGATCCCCAGTGGGTGTCCCCACCTGGGGTTCTGGGCCGTATGACTGGTGAAAGGACAAGGCGGGCATCCTGCTATTGACCAGACACCAAGGGAAGACTGTCTTCCCAAGGAGAGTCTGTGACCAATGTTGGATTTTTTTCAATACGTGGATAGGAGGTGTCTTCTTCATCTCTATTTAAGAAAAGAAAAAGTTTAGAGAGAAACGAAGTTTGCTTACTCATTTGAAGATAAAGGGCAGGGGCTTCACAGGCTGGTCTGAGGTACCAAAGACAAGGTAGTCTCTTCAAGGAAGGAGAGTGGGGATAGGAGACAGATATCCTGAAGGAGTTCCCCTATCTTGGGCTTCGGCACCAAATGTTAAATGCACATCCGATTGAAGAGACAACCTAAACAGACTTTGTGTGAGCAAGAAGACTGTTTATTTACTCAGGTGTGAGCAGGCTGAGTCTGAAAAGGGAGTCAGCATGGAGGTGAGGGACAGATCAGGCTTTATAGTCTGGGGACATGAGTGGAAAGTTATAGCTCAGGTTTGGTTGTTGTTGACTTGGTAGGTTGATCAGTCAGCTGGAACAGGAACCTGTTGTTCTTCATTGTTTTTGGTTTTCCTCTTGCTTCATTTTCAGGCTCCAGGGAGCCATCTGGAGGCATACATGTGGGTTACAGAGTTCATAATGGCTTTAGAATAGTGCTGCCATAATTGGGGGACCTAGCGTCACCCAGAGCTCTTTGTCTCAGGATCAAGAGAATTAAGGAGCATGGACACAAAGGGTGAGGTGGAGCAAAAGTTTAATAAGCGAAAGAAGAAAGCTCTCCACTGCCAAGAGGGGGCCCAAAAGAGGGTTGCTGTTTTTACAGCTGAATTCAAAGGCTTTTAAAAGAAACTAATGATAGCTGGACATCTCATCTGCAAAAGGCATGAATTTCTGGTAGCTCCACCCTGTCCTCCTAGTGCACATGCGGGCCCTTAGCTTGAATTACTCCATATCGCTTTGTTCCCCTTACTGTGTATGTGTCAGAAGATGGAATTTTCCATTGTGGGCATATCTAGGCAAGTCATCTGTGTAGCCTTTCTTATCTGTGCAAATGTGGGCACATCATAGGCAAGCCCCCCACCCCCCCTGCAAGTTTCCTTATCTGTGCCTGCAGGCTGTTCTTTTGTTTGAAAGAATGCAACCAAAGACTCGCTCTAACCACCTGCCTGACTGGTTTCTACCTTTCTCCTCTCTCAGTGACACCAACAAGCCTGAAGCATTATATAGTTTCACTGGCATTCAAGGACCAAGACATTGATGATCATCATGCTGTCAGGAATCACTAACGTTTAATATATTTATGATATCAGACTCAATAATTAGATGAAAGTCAAAATGAACCACCTTGGCAAAAAATTATAGCCATGAGAAAATTATGGCAGTGAAAGAGATCTGATTTAACCAACCTCCACTTTGCCTTTAGCTGGCCTTAATTATTACTGGGCTTAAGTCAAGATAACTTTTGTAAAGCTAATGAGAGAACACCAGGCTAGGAGGACAGAGGTGCCAGAATTCTATGAAGGTGTAGACATAAACCAGTCATTATTCTGGAGGTAACAAGATATGCAACTTTCCCAATTATTCCTGAAGAGAACATCACTATTGTAAAACCTAAGTTTGGCCTTTTGAGATATTTTTTCAGGATTTTTGGCATGTCTGACGACCAGTGGCTCTACCTGGATCTGCCAACCACTCCTGTGGCCCCATTCAGAAGGGACGCAGAGCAAGAGGACAGCTTCCGCTCCCTGTGATTTTGTCTCCAACCCAACCAATCAGCACTCCCTATACCCTAGCGCCCTGTCCACCAAACTACCTTTGAAAAGCCTTAATCTAAAAGCCTTCAATGAGATTAATTTGATTAATAATTCTGTGACTGGTTTAGGAAGCATCTTTTAATGTTTCAGAAATTTCTGTTAAGGCCAGGCACTGTGGCTCACACCTGCAATCTCAGTGCTTTGGGAAGCAGAGGCAGGAGCATCACTTGGGCCCAGGAGTTTGCGACCACCCTGGGCAACAAAGGGAGACCCTGTTTCTACAAAAAAAATATATTTTTAAAATTTGCATTTTGTCCTGCAAGCAAGTTCTAGAAAAAAAATAAATTAAAAAAATTAGATGTGTAGTTTTGAATACCTATAGTCCCAGGTAGGGCCAGGGAGTTCAAGACTGCAGTGAGGCATGTGGTGGCATTGCACTTCATCCTGGGCAATAGAACAAGACTGTCTCTAAAAAAAATTAACAAAAAAATAAATTTTTATTAATTAGTTATTTCTCAAATCAAGAATATTCAAAACCTGCATTTTTCATATTCAAAATCTATAAATATAGCTTATCTTTTTTCTTTAAGATATGGAGGTTGCTTTTTCTATTTTGTGAACATCTTTTTACTCTCCTAAATTTTTTCTCTTTTCCAGAAAATTAAATTTACTGTTGAAATTGCATCCTTCTGTAAATTCAGATTGTTTACAATTATGGGTTTGGAAATTAGCCAGTTTAAATTTGCAATCTTTTTCTCTTGTATTTTTAAAACTAAAAGATAAGAATATTGTAGGAAAAAGAAACAAAAATTTTGCAGATGCCTATATTTAATAATTCTTTTCATTATGAAATTGAGATATAATTTATACATCATAGCATTTACCCTTTTGGTTATACATTCTGTAGTTCTTAAAATATATAATATATTCACACATTTGGCCAACAGTCATTAATATCTAATTCTGGAATATTTTAATTAATCAAAAAAAAAAAAAACCTGCATGTTCATTAGCAGTCACTCACCATTTCTCTCTCCTCTCAGTTTTCTGTTCCTATGGATTTGCCTACTTTAGATATTTCATAGAAATGGAATCTTACAATATGTAACTTTTTGAGTTTGGCTTCTTTTACTAAGCATAAAAGAAGTGTATTATTTACAAGGTAAATGCATATTGTAGCATGTATCAATACTTTGCTCCCTTTTGTGGCTTAATAATGCTCCATTGTATGGATATACCAAAATTTGTTTATCCATCTGTTTATGGTCATATGGGTTGTTTTTACCTGTTGCTATTGTGAAAAGTGCTGAAATTGATAATGTGTAAGTATTTGTATGAGTGCCTGTTAAATTTCTTGGGTATATAGACCTAGGAGTGGAATTGCTGGGCCATAAATTCTATTTAACATTTTGAGGAAGGGGGCGGTGCCAAGATGGCCGAGAGACAGCAACACTGGAATGCAGCTCCCAGCAAATGAGAGGCAGAGGGCTAGAGGATTTCGCAATTCCAAACGAGGTGCTGGGTTCATTTTGGTGGGCCTGATAGGGCACTGAAAATAATAGCCCAGGGAGTGAGCCACAGGGCAAGAGCCTCTCAGGGCGGTAAACCAAGACAGGGCAGGGTGCATCCCGACCTGGAAGGTGCAGCCGGCCCGGAGGTTTGGGGGACTTCACCCTCTCAGTGCTCTGATTTGGATCTTGTGCTTACCTCATCCCTCCTGCAACCCACGGTCCATGAGAGTCCTGCCAGACTGAGGGGTACTGTCAGTTGTCCATGCAAATCTGAGCTCTGGCTCTCCGTGGCAAGTTGTCGCAAGGGCCTGGGCAGAAGTTTGGACTAATGCCAGCCGGCTGGACTGTCCCACAGAAAGACGCAGAGTTGAAAGCAGGGAAACAGGCCATAAGGCCGGTAGGCCCCACCCCCACAGAACTCAAACTGAAGCCCTAGCTAGAGAATTTGGTAGCAAATACACCAGTTTGATCCCAACCAGGAAGATCGAGTTCGGGAAAGGAGAGACGCCATTGAGAAGGGAGGGCCAATCTTACCTGCAAACAAATGCCAGGGAAGGACCACCCACCCAGCAATGTGACTGAATCCGAGAGAGCCCAGCAATGCCCTCTACAGGCCAAAAAAAGATATAGCTCCAACTGCAACAGGAAGGATATGCACTCAGAGATTCCTCCCGAAATCACCAGCTTCAAAGCTCACAGGGAGATAAATCCATGAAGATGGGAAAAAAACAGCGGAAAAGGATGACACCATTAAATACCAGAACACCTCTTCTCCTCCCAGGGATCACAGCTCCTCACCATCAAGGGAACAAAAAAAAGACAGAGAATAAATTTGATGAATTGACAGAAGCAGGCTTCAGAAGGTGGGTAATAACAAACTTCTCTGAGTTAAAAGACCATGTTCTAACCCAATGCAAAGAAACTAAGAACTTGAAAAAAGATTAGATGAAGTGATAACTAGAATAACCAGCTTAGAGAAGAACATAAACCACTTGATGGAGCTGAAAAACACAGCACGAGAACTTCACGAGGCATGCACAAGTTTCACCAGCCAAGTCGATCAGGCAGAAGAAAGGATATAAGAGATAGAAGATCAAATCAATGAAATAAAAGGAGAAGGAAAGATTAGAGAAAGAAGACTGAAAATAAATGAAGAAAGCCTCCAAGAACTATGAGATTATGTGAAAAGACCTAATCTATGCCTGATTGGCATACCTGAATGTGACAGGGAGAACAAATCCAAGTTGGAAAACACTCTTCAAGATATTATCCAAGAGAACTTCCTCAACCTAACAAAGCAGGCCAACATTCAAATCCAGGAAATACAGAGAATACCACAAAGATATTCCTCAAAAAGAGCAACCTCGAGGCACATAATTGTCAAATTCACCAGCGTTGAAATGAAGGAAAAAAATCCTAAGGGCAGACAGAAAGAAAGGTCAAGTCACCCACAAAGGAAAGACCATCAGACTCACAGCAGATATCTCAGCAGAAACCCTACAAGCTAGAAGGGAGTGGGAGCCAATATTCAACATCCTTGAAGAAAAGAACTTTCAATCCAGAATTTCATATCCAGCCAAACTGAGCTTCATAAGTGAAGGAGAAATAAAATCCTTTATGGACAAGCAATTGCTGAGAAAGTTTGTCCCTACAAGACCTGCCTTACAAGAGCTACTGAAGGAAGTGCTAAACAGGGAAAGGAACAACCAGTACCAGCCACTGCAAAAACCTACCAAATGGTAAAGAACAAGGATACAGTGAAGAAACCACGTCAACTAACGGACAAACAACCAGCCAGTAACAAAATGGCAGAACCAAATTCAAACATAACAATATTAACATTGAATGTAAATGGCCTAAATGCCCCAATCAGA